TCCCTCCGCCTCCTGCCAGAAAGGGCTTCCTCCTCTTTCTCTTTCTCCTCTTCCTCTTTCTCGTCTCCCCCTTTTGTTCGCGTCCCTGCGCCTCGCAGCAGCCCGAGAGCTCCCGCTCTGCTGCAAGGACAGCGACTGGTTATTTCTCCCCCCTCCCCAGGGTGCGGAGGATTTCCCCGACTGCTGCATCCTGATCCTCAGGCTTCTGCCTGCAGCCTTCCACGCGTCGGGAACGCCTCTAGTTTCTCTGGTTGTTGGAAGCACACACACAAAACCCTCCTAACGAAAATTTGGTCACCATCGGCCTGACCAAAACGACGTGTTTTTCCACTCGTAAAAACGAGAGGGGGCATCGATGTGCTGCTGGACTAAATTACTCTTGTCAGCCCCTGGCCGTGGGGCGTCTGCTCTGCTCTCTAGTGCTGCCATCCCAGTGCTCTCGTCTGCCACGAGCCGCCCCTGAGCTCTGTTACTGTAGAATCCTTTGTCACAGAGGAGATTTATATGTATTTGTTGCATTGCAGCTTGACAGTGTTAACATATGCCACTGCAGCAGGCATGAAATTCCTGTGCAGCTCTTACTTTCGGTTAAAAGAGCAAACGGGACCCTCCAGGAGGTGCAGAAGTTGGAGGCACTATTGGAAATTTTATAGTTAGGTGTTTCTTTTTGTTTCAGGTTAGAGTTCAGAAAAGACAGTAAGTATATTATAATGCTAAGTGTTTTGTTTTCAAAAGCCTAATGCAGAGTAAGCATGTGACAATTTTGCAGTAGAATGTCTTGCTGGAGATCAGATGTGCTTTAGTACCTGAGTAATTCTCCCCTCCATGAGGTGATGTTGGTTACACAGGATTGTGGGAAGAATTGGTGTTAAATATGCAAATAATCATCTTTCTTCCAGGAGAATCCTTATATTTCACTTACTCATATATTATAGCCCATAATAGTTTTCTTGCCCTCCAGAGTTTTGCATTCAGTTTTCCCTGTCAAGGTAACTAAACTCCTTGTGGTTTTCTTTCGTCATTCCATGTGAATTACACTTTTTTGTGAGAGTTTTATTAGCCTTCCTAAACCAGCATCAGCTTGAAGGTATCGTGAGATGATCATTCAAGAAAAGCTTGTGGTTTAGAAACAAACAAAAGAAAATGCTTACTCTTAAAATGATTAACTATATTCATGGAAATGGCTTAAATAAATGAGTTTATTTTGCTTGTGTGTATTCTCTCTGTAACATGACTTTTCTCTTCCCTGAATTAACTTCCAATACTGTGTTGGCAGCAGCCTGAATTGCCCTCAGAGCACAACTTGAAACAGGTGGTTTATAAAACATGAGACAGGTGCAAGTGTGCCAGGACTAGGGGCTGCAGGGACTCAGACACTGAGCTCACAGAGTAACTCTTCAGACCCTTTTTCATGGTATTCCCCAACCCATCACCCACTGAAACTGATGGAAAGACCAGAAAGGAGAACAGGAAGGGTAAAGCAGCAGTGATCATGTGTGTGTGGTGGATCAAGGAAGCACTTTGGGTGAAAGTGGTTAGATATTGGCTGTGAGTTAGGGGTGAAGAGGAGTGAGCAGGGACAGGTTTGCTGTAGTGCTTCCCTGTACAGTTCTGGTGTGGATATTTCTTCTCCACATCAAGATAAAGGCATTTAGGGCCAGTGCTTTGTTGCATCTGAAAGTTTTCTATTCCAGTATTTAACTACTTTGTGGGTTTTTTTCCTTGCAGGGTCAACTGTTCATTTTATTTCAAAATTGGAGCTTGTCGCCATGGAGACCGATGTTCTCGGTTGCACAACAAACCAACATTTAGCCAGGTTTGTGTCCCTTTTGTTTCCTCTCTCTTGTGGAAGTGTGTTTCCCTCTTTAAAACGTAGAGTCTCAGATACAAGTGAATAATTACCAAGCTCCAGCTTAACTAGTTCACTTTTGGCCCCAGTTTCTCTGGGTCTTTGCTGTTTTGGGGGTATTCCATTTCCTTCTCCCAGCATTTCTAATCATCTCCTGTCACCCTTAATGGCTGCAGGAAGCGATGCTGTTGTAAGCTTGCCTGTAGTAGAGACCAACCAGTGCTAACTTCCAGGTGAGTGTGCCTTCTCAGTGGTGTTCAGGCACTTAAACCATCCCAGAGTTCTTAAATCACAGCTAGTGGCAGCACGTTCCACCTGTCCCAAGGGTGTGAACTTTGATCTCTTCTGCCTTTTATAGAAGGAAACTAATTAACAAATAAAAGCAACTCATCTGTCATTACATTTGCTCTCTGACCCAGGCTCTTAAATTTCCAGAGTAACTTGCACTTTCTTTGGAAGTGAATTTATTGACAACTTGCCTGGTTGCTGGGGGTGAATTGCCAGTTGATGTGAAGATTGTTTCATCTTTGGCTAAGGGAATATCGTCAGAGAAATGATGTGTGACTGTGTGTCTGCCAGAAAAGAGTAAATTAAAACAGGTACATTGTGAGTGGCAGGTTTTTATTAGTAAGAGCTCTGTGGTTTTCACAAATTACATTCCTGGAGAACTGTATGTTTTCCCTCTTTCTATCACTGCTGATTGTCAAGGTACACAGATAAACAGATTTCTTTGGGAATATTGGATAGGAAAAGTATTGAGTGTTGCAGTATCAGCAGTTTTACTTCCAAAGTTTGCATAACAGTAGTCTCCTCTGCAAGTTCATTTAGTCTCTGCCTTGGAGCATAATTGATGAGAGAGGTGGGATGATGTTGGTTTGGGGAGAAATCAGGGAGGCAGGTACTACCCATGGGATGAGTTCAGAGCAGTGATGTTCCTCAGATTAAAATCTGTGAGTGGGCAAGGGGAGTTCTAGGGGGGAATGTCAAGGTTACTCATGGATAGAGACCTCTGCTGGTACTTCAGCTGCAAAAACACTTCTTTGCCTCTGGGAAATTAATTACTTGAATGTAAATATTGTATCTTTCAAAGAATATTGTCCATTTTCAAAACTGTTCCATGTTGCTGACCTACATGGAGAACATGCTGAAATGTGGTTGGTTATTCAGAGACCTGAATTTAGGTCATTGGCTGCTAGAAGGTATTTCTCAATCAGACAACTTCCACAGTAGTTGTCTTTTAAGTTAAAAAAACCCCTCTCAAAACCTGACAAAAAACCCACCACCTTTATTTTATCAATAAAACTCTGCAGCTACAGTTTCCTCTGTCAGTGCAGCCTTGAGCTTTGCTTTAGATCCTGGTCAGCAATGCCAGCTGGGCATGTCCCATTGATGTCTGGGGCTGTACAGCATCCTGCCCAACAGATTGCTGTGCTGTGACACCCCTGAGGTACCTTGGGCAGTGTGTAGGGTTCCCTACAGAAACCTTTACCTGTGTGCAGGTTGGTAATCAGCTGTGATAGAACAACAGAGATCTTGCTCATGGGAAGTTAGCAGCACAGTGTTCATACCTTGTGCAGCTCTTGCTGGTGCAGCCACTTTGCAGAAGAGCTGTGTTAGGAAAGGTCATGCAATCCAGGGTGATCAAATTGCCACCAGTCAGCAGAAACAGCCCCAACTAAATGCATGTTTCTGGCACTCTCCCATTGTAGGCTAAAACATAGTTAGTGTAAACCTGGGCCACGGAAGCACAAAGCTTTGGTTGGTGTGACTGTACCTGTTAGAAAACAAGTGTGTGGTGTTAAATGTGATGTTGCAGATTGGTTTTTGGTTCTTTTTTTTTTTCATGTTAAATGGGCAGCACATGTAGGTGTGACACTGCTGCTCCTGTGGCTTCTTTAAGCTCTGAATTCTTACTGTGACTAATAATAATAATGTGTAAGCTAAAATTACTTGGGGATTGCTATTCGTACAACTAACATTGAGCTTGTGTTTTAAGTAATCAGATTTCAATTCTTTGAGCTGCTTACAGTGATATGGACGTTTGGAATTTTTTTGTAATATTAGTTTACTAACTTAAACATGGTTTGTTTTTTCAGACAACTTGATTTTAAGAAGAACGGTACAAATGTAAGGTTTCAAGTCTGCCCGGGCTAAATCTTCAAGTAAAAAGCAGAAGGGCTAAAAGGATATTGTCCTTATTTGAAGGATCGGAAACATGCGAACCTATGATGCTATTATATTATTGAAACAGAAATTCCACCAAGAAATTCCTGATGCACAAAACGAGACATAGCTGTTGCCCAAAGGCCTTTACTGTCTGGTGTAGCACTTTGGAAACTGTGGCATTATGTATTCTATGCTGTGCACGTAACACTATTTTTCCACCCCACCCTAGACTTGCACTGGTGAATCTGGTCTGGAAAGTTAGGAATCTCCACGATACGTAGTGTGACATTCCAGGGGACTGTGCCTCTCACCTCGCAGTTTGAGGATAGCTCTTGAGACAAACGCAGCTCTTTCTTGGTGGTTAATTACAACTGTTTTCATAATATGATGGTCTGGATGCGATTTTGGAAGATGCTCTGCAAATACAAAAGGAAGTCTTTAAGAATACAATATAACTTTTAGCTGTTTGCAAACAAGTTGTCTCTTTGCAATTGTCTATTCTATGCACAGCAGCCAGTAGAATTCCCCTTTTTATTTTTTTTCCCCGCAGACCATCTTGATTCAAAACATCTATCGTAACCCCCAAAACAGTGCACAGACGGCTGACGGCTCACACTGTAAGTCCCACAGTTGGAGAAATTTTTTTAAAGAATGGTGTTAAAGAGCCCACTCCTAATTATGAGAAAACCATGTTGGCTTCTGAGCTGCTGACATAAAGCTGTTGCAAACAGGACAAGTGACGGAACTCTCCTTGCGCACAGATCAAGAGTTTGTGGAATGTGTGCGATCCCAAAACGCAGGAGTGGCTGCATAAATTGGGCTTGATGCAGATTCCCTTTTGTGTTGCAAAGTGAAACTTGATTGCTTAGTAACACTGCCTTCTTTGTAAAGGGTTAAACTGCAGACATTTCTCAAATTCTTGATTTAACCAAAAAAAATTAAAATACATAAAACTAGGTGTATGTGTGACGTACGGTAAGTTTCCCAAAACTGGGTTTTCTTCCATCTTAACTTTTTTAGGAAAATGGAGATTTCATGTTATGCTGTCATTATTGTATTGCTTCCTCTCCTGGAATTTTGCTGCTGAGAAACAATTCAGTTCAACCAAATTCAAGTTCTTATGCTTGTAATGTGAGATCTGTGTTTGGATGCCATCAGAGGCTGTCTGAAACCATTCAGAACCTCTCTAAAGTGACATTGGTGATGGAATGAAATGAGAAATACAATAATGGAGTATCATGAGATCTCTATTGCTTTACAGAGTCAGGTTGATTTAGAAAGGTCACCAGCTAAGCGAAAGTTCTCCTTCTTGGGAGAGAATAACCACCTCTCTTTCAGCACAGACTCGGCCAAAGCGACCCTAAAGGAAACCAGTTTCTTGTTAAAATTATTTTCCATAATATAAAGTTGTTGCGTTTTGTATTTCAGACCATTGCCCTCTTGAACATTTACCGTAACCCTCAAAACTCTTCCCAGTCTGCTGACGGTTTGCGCTGTAAGTTCATACAAGTTCCTTCACTGGTTCCCTGGGCTTGATTGTCAGAGCTCAGTGTCGACTTAAGCTGGTCTGCCACTTTAGCTTAACAGATCCAACTGACCACATTCTGTTACATGTGTTCAAATCAACACAAACAGCAAAAAAAAAACCTCCAAAATTTTTTTGTTCCGCTCACCTCCCTCCTTACTCCCAAACTGTGAGGGGAATCTGAATTCCATCTGTTAAATCCAAAAGGGTTGAAATTATACTTTCCCCTGTGAAGCAGTTGTGGTTTAACTGCTTTTTTTCCCCCCATCACTTTTTCTCCCTGCCAAGTTGCCTGCATCCTAGAAATGGTTTTCTATGTGTTTTGTGCTATCTATTAGATTCCACTGACTAAAAGAGCAGGACAGTGGCACATTGACTTCATCCAGAACAAATTTCCTGGTCTGTAAATGTTAAGAGAACTTGAAGCTTTTCAGACTGCATGCATAAATCTGTCCCAGGTTAATGCAGCTTCCATGTAGGGAGAGCACTTTGGAAGACACACCATGACTGACAAACGCTTCCCTTCCTGCAGCTGTCCTGTGTGGATGGGTGCATGCTTAAAATTCCTTCCATGCTTTGAAAATTCAAATCCCAAAGCCAAGTGGCATATTTACCTAGGAAAATACTTTTTTTTTTCTTTTTTTTTTTTTTTTGAGGAGGGGAAGGCATTTGGGTATGGTCATGAAGTAATTTAATGTCTCCTCCTGAGCTACAAATGGGCTTAAGCAAACACCTCCTGTGAGACTGGCAGCAGTTAATGACCAGGACTGGTATCGGCGGTTACTGATACATCATTGTCATTGAATCATCAATAGTAGAATAAGATTTTAAAAACCCACAAGTTTTAGGACCAAAGACAGGATCGGTGTTCTTTTCTAACTAATATTTCTTGTTGAAGTGAATATTGACTGTGTGGTAATAAAGCTTTGTTTGGCTATTCTTTTCTTGACTGTTGGATTATAGACTAGTCCAGATTAGTTACCAGCATTTGATTAGAAGTGCTTTGTGAAATCAGCCACTAACTTAAAAGCCAACACTGTCTCTTCTGCTTCTAAAAGCAATAATGGCTCAATTAAGTAACTTTTTGTCACACAACCAAGCTAGACATGCAGTGAGCTGTGTGATTTTGTCTAGATGCTTCAACAGTTCTACTGGTTTGCAGGCTCTCTTTGTTGCAGATGCTCAGTAGTTAATGCTGTGTCAGTAGACCGAAAAAATTCCCAGTTGGGTTATTTCCACTCTGTCCCTAAATTCTCAATGCGCTGGTAACTAATTTGCACAGAGTTACAGCAGTTTGGTCTGTGGAGCTGTTTAGATTTACAGCTGCAAAGAGGCCTGAACAGATCCTCTAGTGTTGAACCTGCTGGTATCCCACTCCAGGCGAGTAGCTGTGTACCAGAGCCTAACTGCACCTGCAGGGGCAGAGCTGGAGCTCTGCAAGCAGGAGGTTTGCTGAGACTCCTGGCTCCTTGTTTTTTGATACTTGTCCCTATTTGAGTACTGCATGTGTTTTAAAATGGATAACTTGGGTAGCTGTTTAATGCTTTGTCATTGTTGCTTAACTGTCTTCCTTTCTATTGCCGTCGTAGAGGATTAACCTTAGTTTGGAACAATAGTTTTCCTGAGTATTTTAAGTAGCAATTGGGCTTCTCAAGGTTCAGATACCAGTAGCCCTGGAATATGAATGTTTGTAAAGCCTGTGCATATATATGTATGCTTCCCACTTTAGAAGGACATTGGAGTAGTCATTAACTAACTGTTGCTTATGATCTCCTAATTTGACTATGGAATCTCCTTAAAAAGCTTTTAGCAGTTGTCCATCTGGTAAACTGTAGTTATTCCCAGTGTGGCTCACAGAGCCCTTGTCTGATATCTTTAAAAAATAAAAAACCAAAACTCCTTAGGAATTAGTAAGCTGTTATCAGTGGTGTTGGCAGAACCTTGGGAATATAGTTAAGTATTAAACTGTCTAGAAATACTGGTTTAATGTTTGATATTCCTTAATTTGCTGTATAACCATGGGGAAGAAGAAAGTTCAAATGCAGAAACATAAACTAAGCTATAAACCAAATGCCCCTCATCCTTCTCCTGGAGATGAATGGAGGGGAAGAGCAGGAACTGCAGTCTCAGAGAATGAGGCTGATCAATATCAGAGCCTTTGAAAATAAATGGGAAGTTTGTCCCAAGTGGCAATAATAGCCAGAAATGACTGAGCCCAAAGCATCTGGGTTTTTTTTTTCAGATCAGCCTGAAAGTAAATAAACTCAGGTTTATTGGCTCAGTTTGTTGTTTTTCACATCCTGTGAACCAAACCAGTGTGGTGTGTAGTTTCAACACCTGCATATTTTTCTAGCATAAAATGCAGAGTTTGTCTTAAAACTGCTCTGCTTGATCTTAATAAGCCACTTAACTGCAGAAGAGCTAATACATGAGGCTTCAATGTGTGTATACAGCTTGTTTACAATGCTGTAGACTGGAAGAAGTAAACCAAATTAATTTTGAAGCTCGTAATGCTCTGAAAATTAAGCCAAACTTAGGTTGGTTTAGCAGCAGCAGGCAAGCAGCACTCGTTTTTAAAGTCCAGCTTGAGGCATGGAAATAACCTAGCCTGAGTACCTGGCTGGCTTGTCTTGCACTGAAAGGTGCTCTGCAGGACTACAGAAAAGTTAAGTGGCACTCAATATTAAACCAGAAAATTGCTTTCTTGCAAAGCATTGTGGTACCCTGGGAAAAGTGTGTCACTTCAATAACTATTTTGGGCAAATTTAAAAAGGAATTCTGGGCTGTGTTACATTGTGAGCTCTCAAATTCTAGCAGATGTGCTAGGGAGGTGGACATGATAAAATTCTGCCTTCAGGAAGAGGGAGGCTAAATTGTAATCATGCTCTAAAATACACAAATTACCTAGCTTTGGTGTAGGTAAAATTGTTGGCAGTTAGGGAGTGGGAGTAAATTTAAAGTGATATTTCAAAGTAATTCCTTTCCCCTTCCTTTAAATTCAGGACATAGAAGTTTGGCTCTGATTAAAACTTGCTTTGATCATATCAATGTAATGTTGTGACAGATACTTTGGGGCACTCAAAGCTCTTCACACATACTTATGTTTCAATATTCCTGTTAGTTAGCTCTATGCTGTCTGGTGTCTCTTATGCTCCAGGAGGCCTCTAGATTGTTTTTAGTATGAGCAAAATTCTCCTCTTCCTGACAGACTCTAATTGATATGACTCTTTGGTTTTTGCAGGTGCTGTGAGCGATGTGGAGATGCAGGAACATTACGATGAGTTCTTTGAGGTATGTAAAATTGCAGCCAGGTGTTAGTGGATTTGTCACCACAGATAGCTGGATGCAGTGGATAGCACAGCTAAATGGATGGAGAGAAAAGCACATATTTCCTCAGGTGTTCATATAAAACTTCCAGCGTTAAATATTTCCTGGAATAACCTTTGGTTAGTTTGGCTTTATGTTCGCTGTTTAAAGTAGACTTTGTTTGACATCAGCAATGTAAGTGACATAGCATTTTTGCTCCATAACCCCTTTCTTTCCTGTAAATCCAAATAGACTCATTTGTATAGAACCAAATAAAGTACAACATAGCACCAAGATTTATATGTTGTGTTTTCAGTGCATTTATGTACCCTGTGAATTCTGTGTGTGATGTTTTCCATAGGTTTGCATTGTATCTTGTTAGTGCTGTATTTACAGATGGACACAGTGCAGGCCAAGCAAGTACTGATTTAAACGTCAGAAATGTAAAAACAAGTGGTTTTGCCTTTTTTCTAAGGAAGTTTTAGACTTGCTCACAGCTAAATGCAGTGTTTCTGTGCTTAGAGCTAATGTGCTGCAGATTTGTAATGGGTCACTTTGTGCTTAGGAGGTCTTCACAGAAATGGAAGAGAAATACGGTGAAGTGGAGGAGATGAACGTCTGTGATAACCTTGGAGATCACCTAGTTGGAAATGTATACGTAAAGGTAGGATAGAGATGTGTTTGTAGAGTCAGCAGGGCTGGGGTTTACTCATCTGTAACTTCTAAAGCTACTGTGTTCTTGTACATTTTGCCAGAGAAGTTCTTCAGTTTGTAACCTCCTCTCCAACTTCACAGTTTAAAGTAGAAAGAGTGAAAATGTGAAAGGAGTCTGAAAGAAATCCTAATAAATCATGAGAAAACTTCCTTGATAGTCAAAATCTGTGTAATTTCCCAAGAAATTAACACTTTTTTTTACAGTCACCACTGCTGGACTGTAGTTTGACAGGATTAATTTGGGATCTGTCTTGCCATCCTGCTGCCCTTTAGCACTTCATTATGAGAGGTTTATTCACAACAGGTGTGTCTATTTACAAGTGCATTTATTTTCTGACTTCCCAAGTTAAACACAACATCTCATAGCCCAGTTATATTTGGCACTAGTTGGGTGGTTTAAGGTGCAAACTTGGGTTTAACTTTAAAAAGTCATTGGTACCTCTTGAATAATGAGTACCAAGTTGTCACCTGCAGAAATTTTATTGCATGTGCACAGTGTTGGGAAAGGGTGAGAGAGTTTAAATATATTGACTGTACATTCCCTCAGCTGGAAAGTGTTTTCACACCTGAAATTCTCAGCTGTATAGGTCATAATCAGAAATCAAAGCTGTTTTTAAAAATTTGCAAGTGGCTGACTGTGAAAGGGCATTTCAAATTTAAGTTGTACATTCATCATAGAACAGAATCAGCTTTGTGCAAATTCTGATTTCAGTGAGAGCCTCAATTCTCATACAGATTTGTCTTAAATGTTTGAAAAAATCCATTACATCAGGGGTGTTAGTGTTCTAGAAAGTACTTGGTTTAAAGCTATACTAAGAAAATGCTGTGTCTTCTGTTGACTTATTTCTCACCTGAAAGACCAAATGGAACATAATTAAGAGGAAAATGAATTTTTGATTAGCTCTGAGTCCCAAATTAATGAAAGTCTGGCGTATTTACCCTTGAATCTGATGGGCTGTCCCAGGAGCTCTGAAGTAGCTTCTAGTTCATTACTAGTCCCAAGCCTCAGATACCTCAACTGATTTGATAGGAATCTTCAATCTACTTCTGTTGCTTCTCTGTAAGGTGAGCAAATGTTAATTTCCCTCGTAGTTTCGCCGTGAGGAAGATGCAGAGAAGGCTGTGATTGACCTGAACAACCGCTGGTTCAATGGGCAGCCCATCCATGCCGAGCTCTCGCCTGTGACCGACTTCAGAGAGGCTTGCTGCCGCCAATACGAAATGGGGTACTGCAGGGCCTGCCTGGGAATGTCTGCACAGCCAGGGAGGCTGCTGGGTGGGGGGTTTGCCTAGCTGAGTGCAGCAAAAAACCATTTCAGCTAACAGTGGTGTGGAGGATCTGCAGCGAACCTCTTGATTTTTTGGGGATCTTTGATCTGGAATGAGTCACTGTCAGTAAACGATGCTTGTAATGAATGTACTGGTTTGAGTGCTAGAGGTGATGAGCTGTGAGGTGGTTGGAGGTCCAAACATAGTGTAGAGCTGGGATATCTAACTGTGCCTCTCGGGTTCTGTTTCAGAGAGTGTACACGAGGAGGTTTCTGCAACTTTATGCATTTGAAGCCCATCTCTCGGGAGTTACGGCGCGAGTTGTACGGGCGTCGCCGTAAAAAGTAAGTTTGCTTTTAAACGCCATGAAAATGGGTGAATTAAGGATCAATTGCTGGAAATCCAAAGGCAAATCTTTAAATTTAAGCCCTTTGGATTTTCTAATGCGGTTCTGGCACGTGCCAACAGAAGGGCAGCAAACAAAGCTGTCAAGTGCCCAGTTTAGAACAAAGGAGTAGGATCTAAGGAAACAAGTTCTGGTGCTTCTTGCTCTGCAGTTCTGTGGATGCTGAAGGTTGTGGCTCCAGGAGAAGGCAGGGGTCAAGGAGAAGAAAATCCACTGAGTTACTCAGTACCTGTGGTTCAGATCTCCAAACTGCAAACTGTACAGACAGACATGTGAGAGAAGTTGCTTTATGCTTCCTCTCTGCTTTTGTCTCTTCTAAATGTGTTTGCTCATGGCCCTGTTAGAAACAGGCTACTTGGCTAATGGGCATCTTGGCAGCATCAGATTGGACACTTCAGCATTATGTGCAGTCAGGCATATCTATAGATTATACTCAGGGCCCAACCTTATTTGTTTTTACCTCGTAATAGCTACTTTTTCCAGCCTGTATCATTCTTTGTGTTAGTAACAGGCAGTCACTGTATTGGACTCACTTTTAATAACAGTGCCCTTACCATGTGACCCTTCTTGGTAGGAGTTCTCAGTAGTTCAAAGGAACAGTAATTTTTCTTAATGGAAAAAAAATGTGGAAAATACTTTTATTATGTATTAAATTGCTTATTTATTGAGGTGCCTTGTAGAAAGGTTTATTCCACTGCTCTTGCATAGAATTTGTGAGGATGAATTTAACTTTGAAAAACATACATTGCTTTGCTTAGATACTTCCCTAAAATATCCATTCTAATATTAACTTAAATGGGAGCTTTTTTAAGATGTTTGATTTATGAAAAAGACAAAGTGCTTTTATTGTTAGCCTTTGGGTCATTTATGCAAATCTGGAGCTCTCAGAATTAGCAATGCTAATTAAAAAATATCATTCTTTATTAGAATAAATGTCAGAATTGTGTGTTTGGCTTTGGAATGGGATTGTTTTACCCACAGCCCAGTTTCAGTATGTGGTAAAACAAAGAAAATAGCTGGATCCTCCATCCAGGTTTGTCTTTCTTGGCCCTGTTTAAAATCCCTGTGCAGCTTAAGCTGTCACGGGTTAGCAGTAAGGCTTGGTATAAAAACAGTCTGTGTCAGTGGAGTTTCACAGGTTGTTGTATAAACTAGGCTTGACTGAAAGTAGTAGAAAAAAGAAGGTTGAACAAGAACTTCTGAATGAAAGCCTCATTTAGGTATTTTGGATGGCTGAGTAGTGAGCAGGAATTAAGTATGTGTCTGTCATAGTAACATTTGACACCACACAAACTCCTACCCCAAAACATGTCACCATGGAACAATATTCAGCAAACTGAAGACTTTCAGCATTTCTTTCCTTGATATTTTTAGTTCTGCTGTAATTTCTATGCGGATTTAAAACCATATTGTTCACCTGTGTATGAAATTCGCTTTTCTGAAATGCTGAGAACCATTCAGACCACTCTTTTCCTGGACAGGTGCCATATAAGCTCTTAAATGCACAGCAGCTGTTAGCAGTGTGCTCTGGGTGGGTTTAGCTTCCTAAGTCATCGACCTCAGAGTCACAGAAGATGATTTGCCAGTGCTGGTGGCGTAGGGGGAGGGAGGAGGATGATGTAGAAAAAAGTGAGGGTAACAGAAAACCGAGTTATAATTGCTAATTAACACAATGGTTTTAATACCAGTGCACTTAGAAGCAGCTGTTGGTGTGTGGTGTTTAGAGCTGCTCATAACTGACAAAGCAGGTGTTCCCTTCTCCTGCTGCTTTAGTTAAGAGCTGTGTAACAGTGCCTTTCCCTCAGGATGGCCCATCCATGTAACGAGTGGCTGCAGGGGACAGTCAGTTCCTGCACCAGGTGGTGTTGACTCTCTGGCATAAAGTTTGTACAGTCTGTAAATAAGTGGTTTCACAGCCTGAGAGCCAATTAGCCAATCCCAATTAGACGCTGCCTGTCTCCAACCTCATTACTCAACGTTCTTAGTGAAGCGTTGTACTGCGAGTGAATTGCTGGATGAGATTGAAGCAGTAACGACGTGTCCAAACCTCTTTGAAGGCATAGGTCCAGGTCGAGGTCCCGTGAGCGCCGGTCGAGGTCCAGAGATCGCGGCCGCGGCGGCGGCGGAGGAGGAGGAGGAGGACGCGAGCGCGACAGGAGGCGATCCCGAGATCGTGAGAGATCCGGTCGATTCTGAGCCATTTTTACTGTATGTCTGCTAGAAAGTGTTGTAGTTTGACCAAACAAGTTCATAACGAGATTTTTTTTAAAAAAAGATGGGCTTCTGAATAAAAACTTTGTAGTGATACAGTATTCTTTGTGTAACTTGTTTCTTGTGGGGGGGGAAGTCTTTTTAACTGTCATTCCTCTATCTTGACAAATACCTGGATTAACTGCCTGAGGGAAAGGTGGTAAATGTATTGGAGGAGCTCCAGTTTTGGTTTGGGTTTTGGTTTGGTTTGAATTTTTTTTTTTGTTTGGTTTTTTTTTTTTTATTTGGGTATAAATTGAACTGTTGATGAAAATGTGTGTGTATATAATATAAAATATTATATACATAGTAAAAATAATATACTGCTTAAGAAACAGTTACTCACATAAGTTTCCCTTTTCTGCTATGCTGTCTGCTTATTTAGGTTAGTTTAGGCACATCTAAGAGGAAAGGCTGTGCGAAAAATGCAGTTATTTACCGAGTAGAAACGCTTAGTTACAAAAATGTATGTTTGTTTGTTACCAGAAGTCTGTGCTCTGTCTATCAATGTGACTGTGGCATTTACAATAAATCCAATTTCTTGGTGTAAAATCTAAAGCCTATTTTCTAAGCACTCTGGAGTAGTAGAGTTGCTACTCCTGGCTGCCTATTTTGTAAGCGAAAAATGCAGTTATTTACCGAGTAGAAACGCTTAGTTACAAAAATGTATGTTTGTTTGTTACCAGAAGTCTGTGCTCTGTCTATCAATGTGACTGTGGCATTTACAATAAATCCAATTTCTTGGTGTAAAATCTAAAGCCTATTTTCTAAGCACTCTGGAGTAGTAGAGTTGCTACTCCTGGCTGCCTATTTTGTAAGCACTCTGGCGTAGTGGCTGGGCCTCTGCCTGTGCCAGAGTTCATAGTTCAGGTTTTTATAATTCTTGACTAAATTCCATGTCTTTGGCTGGAAAGTAAGTTGCTTAGTGCAGTGTGGGGGAAAAAAAATCCCAATATTTTTATTGCAGTTATTCATAATAGGCAGGTGAGGGTTTTGTAAAAAACACCAAAATTATGCTCCGTGCAACATGATACACAAGTGCTATTGAAGGAATTGTCCGGTCCTCAATACAAGGACCAGATTTCCTAACAGGCTGAGTTTTTTTCAATCTATGCTCTCTTGCCTGTCACTTAATGAACAGCATTTTGTTAACATTCAAGGTCATAGCAAACTAACTGGATGCTAGTGGAAAAGAACACTTTTTTCCACCTTTACTCACTCTCTGGTAGTGTGAGGTGTGATAAAAGCTGATGGACAGATTGCAGTTTCCTCACAAACACATATTTCTCTCTTGGAGCTTGAACTGCAAAAGCTACAATAGCTCCATGTTAGGTTATGTGTCTCAAAGCCCCGTGGAAATGTTGGTGGGACACCTTGAGGGACAGTTTGTACATTGACTGACTTGCAGTTTCACCTCCTTCATGTCTGCTTTTGTTCAGGGTATAACAGGAAGAAGTTTTGGTCAGTATCACATTTCTGCAAGATAAACTTTTATGTACACAAAGCTACACAATGTGATGCAGCTTTTTATTGGGGAGAGGTTGTACTAAAGCCTTTTAGTTCTGAGCCAGGTAACTTGCCAAATGATAAACCTGCTCCATGATGACTAAAAAATCAAGAAGGAAATAGAAGGAATGTGGACACATCACATAGGTTAACAAACCAGCTTCTTTCTGCCTCTAAAATTAGTATAAAAGCATGTTGCTCAATGGAACTCTGAAACCAAAATAATACTGAAAAATGAGCTTTTCTAGGTGAATCTGCTCTGCTTCTTGCAACTAAATTCTTGCAGCAGTTCAGTTTGAATTCATTTTGTTCCCACTGGATGGTTTGGCCAACCAGAGTATGGAACTAGCTTTGCCAGGACCCTTTCTGAAGGAATATCACTCGAGCAGTGAATCCATGTCCACAGATGTTCTGTTGTGAGTACGTAAAGGAAATGATGCTTTATTTTCTTGGAAGAAGTTGAGCAGTGCCTGGCATTAAA